GAGTAGATCTTGGCTTTTTGGCGTTTGTTTCAAGCGGGAGGGGTAAGCACGGGGGCCCCGCCTCCCCATAGGATTCCCCATAGGAGCACTGCTCCAAACAGTCGCACTGAGCAAAGATCCCGAGCCAGAACCTCCACCTCCCCCCATCCTCGTTCAACGTCTCAAGGCCGGATACGAGCACGTGCACCGTGTTAGCAACACTCATCTGGCGCAGTGGCGCGAGGGTCCCTCTCGTGCAGATCCACGGCTCGGGCCGGCGAGGGTTGGTGGTGACGACGACATCGGCGACGGACAATCCTGAGCGTGGTGATGCTGATGCTGCTTATGGTCATGGTGAGTGTGGTGGCGATGCTGATGAGGGCAACGACAACGACGATGGCGATGATGGTGATGGTGATGATGATGATGCTGATGATCAGGATGATGATGATGATGACGATGATGATGATGATGATGATGATGATGATGATGATGATGATGATGATGATGATGAGGATGATGATGATGATGATGATGATGATGATGATGATGATGATGATGATGATGTTCATGATGATCATGATGACGATGATGATGATGATGATGAGGATGATGATGACGATGATGGTGATGATAATGATGGTGAGTAAGCTGATGATGATGACGATGCTGATGATGCTGATAGTGATGATAATGACGGTGATGCTGATGATGATGATGATGCTGCTGATGATGATGCTGATGATGGTGTTGATGGTGGTGATGCTGACGATACTGGCTATGGCAAAGGAGATTCTGGCCATGATTATGGCGTCGGCGAGGAGGATGAGGAAGTGCACGCTCTAAAAAAATCGGATGACTGTTGTTTGAGCGGTTGTTTGTTCTACATGTTTCCGAACACGTGTATATTGCAACGAATGGTGACATATGCGTGTTGGGAAGTGCGCGTCTGACCTGTATCGTACTATCTGATATGCTTTGGGGGTGCGCGATGATAACTAGATGATCTCGACATGCGGACGCGCGCATGTGGCTTGCGCAGTCTCATTTGCCAGAGTGTCACCAGCACAATACATTCTTGTTTGAGCAAGTGCGCGCGTTACTCAATGGAAAACGGTATGACATCAACTTTTCCATGATCGGGGGCTCCCTTTTCATCCAGGGCGACTCGGAAGTTTATGCCCCCACGTGCCGCCGTAGGGATTAAAACTTCCAAGCCACCCTGGGACAGGCGCTCCAAATCGCGGGAAAGCTTCTGGTATTGCGTTCTCCGCCCTCTAAGTTGCTAGACAGCCCTGTCCTATTCGATTCCTTCACCAGAAGCGTTTACTAAAGGGCATGGGGGTGTACGGGTGCTCACTATCTGGGCGGTTATTCCGCCCTCTGCCTCCGCGCCAAGTTTCGGGCTCCTGCGTTCCAACGTTTGGGGGCTTTCGGTCTGCACCCGTCATCTTTGTTCGCGCTTCAGGAACAGCTGGTCTTGTGGATCTTTCAGCCTCCGTGGCGCCTGGACGAAAGAATACCCATCGGTCGTTGAACGTAGGTATTCTTGGACTCCCGGACTTCAATCTACTTTCAGCGCCTTCCTACTTCAATGATCGAGTGGCTTCACCTTGTCCGTCCTCCTTAGGGGGCGGACGGAACACAATCTCTTTTCAACGCCTTCCTACTTCACGTTTCTAGCTACTCCTTCGGACCTGTGGGTACCCCCCCCCTCCGCAGGGACACTGCGCGTGCTGCAACGCCAGCCGCTTCAGCACCAGCGAGTGCAACACCAGAATGCGTGTTAATAAGCAACATGACAGCATATTAGCAGAACGCATTTCGGACAAAAGCGTCGGATATCTCGACAAAGACGACGAAGACGACGACGGCCGCGTGGGACCGCACCGATCGCGATCCACCTTGGGGGCCCACGAACTCACCACAGGAGTCAGACCTGCAAAGGGGGGCGGCGGGCCAGAGGAATATACCCAAAGTATGTACTTTTGGACCCCCAGATCTCAATCTACTTTCGGCCCCTTCCTGTCTCAAGAGTCGAACTGTTTCTCCTCGTCCCTCCTCTTCAGGGGTGCAGATCCTCCTCCTCCCTCCTCCTCCTCTCTCCACCTCCTCCTCCCTCCACCTCCCTTCTCCTCCCTCCTCCTCCTCCTCCTCCTCCTCCTCCTGCTCCCCCCTCCACCTCCCTCCTCCTCCTCCTCCTCCTCCTCCTCCTCCTCCTCCTCCTCCTCCTCCTCCTCCTCCTCCTCCCTCCACCTCCCTCCTCCTCCTCCTCCTCCTGCTCCTCCTCCTCCTCCTCCTCCTCCTCCTCCTCCTCCACTCTCAACGCCTTCCTACTTCATGTTTTACCCACTTCTTTCGACCGATGAGCAGACGTGCGAGCACCCGTGGAGGAGCAAGAAAGGTTCGCGCCCGACCTCACCCCGATCGCGATCCACCGAGGGTCTCCACGGTCCCACCACAGGGGGCAGACCTGCAAGGGGGGGACCACAGGGGTCAGACTAGCAACGGGGGGGTCGGGCCAGGTCCGCAGGGGTCAGAGGGAGGGGCGGGAGGAGGAGGAGGAGCAGGAGGAGGAGGAGGAGGAGGAGGAGGAGGAGGAGGAGGAGGAGGAGGAGGAGGAGGAGGAGGAGGAGGAGGAGGAGGGGGGGGCGAGTCGGAGGCCTCTCTTGTGCAACAGGGCAGACGACTCAGAGGACTTGGGACATTGACCTGGGCCAGAGGGAAGATGTTAAGTGGGCGTCGAAGCGGAGGGCAGCAAAATGCCCGGAGGCGGCTGGAGCATGGCAGTGGTCGGAGGACAACACGACGAGGGGACGAGGCACGCGTCAAAGCGGACAGCATGGTGAGCAGTTGGTCCCGCACGCCTTCGAGGCCGTCGCATTCTTCGTGTGCTGAGCGTTGGGCGTCGCGGAGTGGGGGTGGGGGCGATAACTGGGGGGGCAGCGAGGCCTGCAGAAAAGGGGCCCCGTAGGGCCCCTGAAGGGCCGACTCCTCTTCGTGAGGTTCCCGAGCTTCTTGGTTAGATTTTCGTTAATTTCTCTCTCTCTCTCTCTCTTTCCCTCTCTCTCTCTCTCGCCCCCGAATGGCCTTCTATTTGGGCCCCAAGAGGGGGCCTTCCGGGCCCGAGAAGTGCACCTCGCTTTCCCCTCCCATTTATTGCGAAGGCCTTGCGGCCGGTGCCGCCGACCCTGAATGGCGACGACGACTACGACGATGACGAGCGCTCTCGGGGGCCTCTTGGGGGTAGTTTGGGGGCCCTCGTGGGAAGCTCTTGGTTAGCTCTTGGGGGCCGCTTGGAAGCCTCGTGGGGGCTTCTTGGGGCTTCCTCGGGGTCTCTTGGCGGCTTCTTGGGGCTTCCTGGGGGGCTCCTTAGGGACCTCTGGGGGCCTCCTGGGAGCTTCTCAGTCCGAGGGCTCGACATGTCCGTTCGGGTCCCCCGTCTGGGCTCCTCCTTGGAGCCGTCTTGGGGGCCTCTTCGGCTGTCTTGGAGGCCTTTTGGTCCGTCTTGGGGCCCTTGGGTCGTTTTGGGGCCTTCATGGAGGCCTCTTGGGCCATCTTGGGGCGGTCTTGGGGGCTCCTTGGCCTGTCTTGGAGCATCGGGAAGTTGACAAGGCCAGGATGCCGAAATCTTTCAAACATTTTCGGGAAATCTATGATTTTTGCCCCTTGGGACCCTCTTGGAAGTCCTCTTGGAGGCCTCTTGGGGCGTTTTGGAAACCTTTTGAGCCGTTTGGAGGCTATTTTGGCGACTTGGACCCATACTTGGGCGATTCGGGGCCTTCGAGGACCGTCTTGGGCCCCCTTGGGACCCTCCCGGGACCCCCCCCGGGACACCCCCCCGGCGGGGAAGGGATCAAAGGGAAGGGACTTGCCCTTCGACTCATCTACATCGTTGCTCAATTTCGCTGTGGCTAGCGCGCTCGAGGAGGAGAAGCCTGGGAAAATGGGAGGAACGGCGACGGGCCCAGGGAAAAGGGGGGAAGCGAGCGGCGAAGGCGACGACGACGACGACGACGACGACGACGACGACGACGACGACGACGACGACGACCGCGACGACGACGACGACGAGTCAAACGGAACAGCCTCTTCCACACGCCGACAGGGTCGGCCGACAGGGAATAGTAATGCTATGAACAGGAGGAGGAGGAAGAGGAGGAGGAGGCGGAGGAGGAGGAGGAGGAGGAGGAGGAGGAGGAGGGGGATGAGGCCGACAGGGTCGGCGGATTTACCGCGTCGCCCCCCATGAAATGACGCTCAGGGGCGATCCCGCCGCCGCCGCTCAGCACCCGCGCAAGGACCCCCCCAGCAGCGCGCCTCGCGCCCTTCGGCGCTCGCGCTCGCTGCCGGAGTGGAGTCGGGCGTGTCCTTCTGCAGGGGGAAAATTCCAAACTAGTAGTAAAATAATTCGTGGACGATTTGTCGAGTCTTTTTTCACATTTGAAACATATCTATTTTTGGGGCTCTCTTTTACATTTTCGTGCAAAATCCGCCTGCAGGGGGGACATACCCGATGGCAGCCGCTGGGCGACGAGTTCGCACGTCGCAGAGGAGGGGACCGCCGCACACCGCGGGGCCGCCCAGCGCCCGCTGGTGTTACGTCGGGCCTGTCCGTCTACAGGAGGGATAGTCAAGAATCGTCTCAAAACAGTCAGGGGACGATGTTTGATCATTTTGTAGAATTTTGGGGGTACTTTTTTTTGTTTTTTTTAATATATATATATATATATATTTGTATTTTTTTCGCTCAAGATCCCCCTGCAGAGGGACGTGCCCGACCGAACGCTGGTGCTGGATCTGGAGGTGAGGTGGTGTGTTCTCGGCCGCACCCGCGCTCCTCAGTTCCCTGCTGTGCTCCGGCGCGTCCCGCCGCTGCTTGACCGACGTTTGATCTCTCACGTCCGCTGTGGAAAGTGCCAAAGCACGTGCAGTTCCAGCACCCCTCGGAGGAGCATCAATCTTAGTCGACGTGCACGACGACGACGACTACGACGACGACGACGCCCCCTCCTCGGCAGGATCCCGACGACCCAGACTCCTGCTGGAGGGGGGGGGGCGGCGAGGGGAATGCCGCGGCGCCGTCTCTCTCGCTCTCTCTCGGCAGGCCGCCAGGGACCCCGCTCTCCTCCTTCTGCTCCCAGAGGGCGACGAGGCAGGAGGCAGGGAGGGAAGCCATTGTTGAAGGCATAGGGTACCTTATCATCATTCCGTGCGCAGCCGCTGCTTCAGTGGTTCAGGCTTTGGGGAAAGAGAAGCAAAGGAACATCGGGAGACGCCAGCCGACCACCTCACCCTTATCCTTCGAGCAGGGGATCGACTGCATTATTGATTTGCCCCAGAGTTCGGACTCACGAGACATACGTAGAATGCTCAGTGGACTGCGGACGCATTCGACGAACCAATACACTCGGGGGTCAATCAATTCTGTAGTCGATCCCATACTCGAGTCCTGGCCGCGCCCATCCTGGGCCCTCGGCCCACGGCTCTCGGTGTAATTACACGCCGCCACCACGGCTTGGCCAGGAAGGCCTGAGCACCGACCCTGTGCCCAGGGTCGGCCCGGCGAGGAGCCGGTGAGGTGGTCGGTTGACGTCCCCTGAGGGGGAGGAGGAGGAGGAGGAGGAGGAGGAGGAGGAGGAGGAGGAGGAGGAGGAGGAGGAGGAGGCTGTGCCGTCCAAGGCTAGGGCGACGTCGGGCAACCTGTTCAGCTCTGGTGTCTCGCGGTGTTGTCCCGTGGGTTGTCCCGTGGGTTGTTCAGGTGTGTCCCGTGGGTTGTCCCGTGGGCCGTTCCGTGATTGTCCAGTGGTTGTTCCGTGGCTTGTCTTGCGAGTTGTTCCGTGGTTGTCCCGTGGGTTGCTTCGTGGTTGTCCTGTAGGTTGTCCCGTGGATGTCTTGGAGTTGTTCCGTGGGTTGTCCCGTATGTTGTTTTGTGACTGTCTCGTGGTTGTTCCGTGGTTGTCCTGTGGTTGTCCCGTGGTCGGCTGGTTTTCCAGAGGTTGTTTTGTGGGTTGTCCGTGGGTGTCCCGCTGGAATTGCAGCTTTAAAGCAGTATAATGCGAACCGATACGTATGCACATCGGACTCAGTTCAGAATGCATGCTGGCATGAACCCGATGTAATCCAATAGCGCATTGACGTGCACATCGACGTGCCTATCGCACTGATAAGCGAAGTGCATACCAACCAGCAATCGAATTACAAAGTGGAGCAACCATCGACCTGCGACACGTAATACCATTCCCGTGGAACTCGACACGCGCACCCCGTTCTTGTCGTCGAAGTGAACGTCACGTGCCCACCGAAGTTCAAGTCCAATTGCAATCGAGCTGCGAACCAAGCTGCAGGTAGAGTAATCATGTACAGCTCCTTTCCGCACTCGTCTTCACATACATCCTTGCAGGGTGCCCTCCGCGCGCCATCTCTTTCGCTCACGGTCAGTGCGTGTACCTCGCTGTCCTTCGTGCGCCCAGAGAAGCAGAGAGGGTCGTGGAGGAACAAGTTCAACAGGGCCTTCGAGTGGATGCCAATCGCCGCTATAGTCGAGGATTGGGCGCAGGGTCAGGGTGGATGAGGAGGAGCAGGATGAGGCGGGGAGGAGGTCGGAGAGGCAGATGATAGGAGGATGAGGAGGAGGAGGAGGAGGAGGAGGATGAGGAGGAGGAGGAGGAGGACATAATAGCAGGAGGGAAAGGCCATAACCTAGCATGGAAAGAGTGTATGAGAGGATCTGGAGATGATGATGAGGAGGAGAAGGAGGACGTGGAAGAGAGGGCGGAGGCAATATCAGGAGCATCATTTTGATGAGGGTGATGACGGAGGGTGAGGTGGATGATGATGTGGCGCCGTGGCGAGAAGTAGCAGATTGATGAGCCTTTGCGGCGAGAACCCCGTTTTGAACAGGTAGGGCCATCAAGCGCAAGGAAGTGCTCAGCGATAGCCCCAGTTTGCAATGGTACTCTTTCTGCCAGAACTCTCAGGCGGCCTGACGCGAAAGCCCAATTCTGCCAATGAACCACCCTTCAAATTTCTGCAGTGGCTAAGGCCGTAGCAACATGCTTGAGACCGACCTGCCCTCTATCCTTGTCGCTGTTTGATGCCTGTAGAACGAACGTGCGCGGCACTAGGGCGTGAGCTACATGTTGACCACGATTAACCCGCCATGCGTGTAAGCATTGGAAGCGTCCACAACCAACCATCTTGTGTTGGGTCCTCGTTTTGAAGAGGCAGCGCCCTGCGTCCACCTCTTCTCTCTTTCCTCCTCCCCCTTCTCCCTCCCCCCATCATCACCATCATCACCATCATCAGCATCATCAGCATCATCATCATTATCGTCATCATCATCATCACCACCATCATCATCATCATCATCATCATCATCATCATCATCATCATCATCATCATCATCATCATCATCGTCATCGTCATCGTCATCGTCATCGTCATCATCATCAGCAGCATCATCATCATCCTAGTCATAATAACCATCATCATCACCATCACCATCACCATCACCATCACCATCATAGCATCATCATCATCATCATCATCATCATCATCACCATCATCATCATAATCATCATTTTCATCATCATCATCACCATCATGAGCATCAACATTCTCATCATCAATCTCGCCACCGTCATCGTTATCACCATTGTCGTCATCACTCCCGCCGTCATCATCATCACCATCATCGTCATAGTTCCCCGCCCATTCCTGCACGCCCTCACACGGTTCGTGGCCCCACAGGGAGCTCTCATGAAGGCCCCAGCGGCAGGGTTCGCATGCAGTTCTACCCTCATCTCGGTACACCCCTCACACGGATCGTGGCCCCATACGGAGCTCCAGGGTTCGCATGCAGTTCCACCCTCATTTTCGGCGCACTCATCACACGGTTCGTGACCCCATAGGGGGCTCCCGCGAAGGCCCCAGTGGCAGGGTTCGCATGCAGTTCCACCTTCATCTCGGCGCACCCCTCACAGCCCCTCACACGGTTCGTGGCCCGATAAGAAGCTCCACCGAAGGCCTCAGTGGCAGGGTTCGCATGCAGTTCCACTTTCATTTCGGCGCACTCATCACACGGCTCGTGGCCCAATAGGGAGTTCCATCGAAGGTCCCAGCGGCAGGGTTCGCATGCAGTTCCACCTTCATTTCGGCGCACCCCTCACACGGTTCGTGGCCCTATAGGGAGCTCCACCGAAGGCCCCAACGGCAGGGTTCGCATGCAGTTCCGCCCCCATTTCGGTGCCCCTTTCACACGGTTCGTGACCCCGTGGCCAGCTCCACCGAATGCTTCAGCGGCAGGGTTCGCATGCAGGTCCACCTTCATCTCGGCGCACTCATCACACGGTTCGTGGCCCCATAGGGAGTTCCACCGAATTTTTCAGCGGCAGGGTTCGCATGCAGTTCCACCCTCATTTCGGCGCACCCCTCTCACGGTTCGTGGCCCCATAGGGAGCTTCACCGAAGGCCCCAGCGACAGGGTTGCATGCAGTTCCGCACGGTGCCCCTCTCACACGGTTCGTGGCCCTGTTGGGAGCTCCACCGAAGGCCCCATTGGCAGGATTCGCATGTGGTTCCACTACCTTCATTTTGGCACACCCCTCACACGGTTCGTGGCCCCACAGGGAGCTCCACCGGAGGCTTCAGCGGCAAAGTTCGCATGCGGTTCCCCGCCCATTTCGGCACACCCTTCACACGGTTCGTGGCCCCATAGGGAGCTCCACCGACGGCCTCAGTGGCAAAATTCGCATGCGGTTTCCCGCCCGTTGCGGCACACCCCTCACACGGTTCGAGACCCCATAGGGAGTTCCACCGACGGCCTCAGTGGCAAAGTTTATTTCGGCACACCCCTCACACGGTTCGTGGCGCCATAGGGAGCTCCACCGACGGCCTCAGTGGCAAAATTCGCCTGCGGTTCCCCGCCCATTTCGGCACACCCCTCACACGGTTCGGGCCCCCCCCCATAGGGAGCTCGACTGACGGCCTCAGTGGCAAAGGTCGCATGGGGTTCCCCGCCCATCTCGGCACACCTCTCACACGGGTCGTGGCCCCATAGGGAGCTCCACCGAAGGCCTCAGTGGCAAAATTCGCATGCGGTTCCCCGCCCATTTCGGCACACCCCTCACACGGTTCGTGGCCCCATAGGGAGCTCCACCGACGGCCTCAGTGGCAAAATTCGCATGCGGTTTCCCGCCCGTTACGGCACACCCCTCACACGGTTCGTGGCCCCATACGGCGTTCCACTGAAGGCCTCAGTGGCAAAATTCGCATGCGGTTCCCCGCCCATTTCGGCACACCCGTCACACGGTTCGTGGCTCCATAGGGAGCTCCACCGAAGGCCTCAGTGGCAAAATTCGCATGCGGTTCACCGCCCACTGCGGCACACCACTCACATGTGTCGTGACCCCATAGTGAGCTCTACCGAAGGCTCCAGGGACAGCGCCCGCATGCGGTTCCACTTTCGATTTCCGCGAATCCCTCACACGTGTCGTGGCCCCAGAAAGAGTTCCACCGAAGGCCCCAGTGGCAGCGCCCGTATGGCGGTCCCGCCACATTTCGGCACACCTTTCACGCGCTTCGTAGTCCCATAAGGAGATCCACCGACGGCAATACTCACAACGAGGGTACCTTCAACTGCATATGGTTGGGCCCTCCGCCAAGCTTTTTTGTTTTTTTCAATGATTTGCATTCCATTCGTGTATCCGTTGGGTATTCAAGCTTCCGGACAATCAGCGGTGAAGAAGTCTCAGACGAAACGCTTGGTTCGCTTTACCGACACGTCAGGTGGTGCGACGAGGATGCGTTACCCGGAATGAAAGGACATGGAGAAGAGGTTGAGGTTCACGATAATGATGATGTTGATGATGATGACGATGATGATGATGATGATGATGATAATGATGATGAGGATGATGAGGATGATGCTGATGATGCTGATGATGACGATGATGATGATGATGCTGATGCTGATGCTGATGCTGCTGATGATGATGATGATGCTGATGCGGATGCTGATGCTGATACTGTTGATGATGATGACTGTTGTTGTTGTTGTTGCTGTTGGTTGTTGTTGTTGTTGTTGTTGTTATTGTTGTTGTGAACAACACCATTGTGAAGTATAGGACGATTGTGATGGCGTCGATGACGATGAGGTTGTTGGAATTGTTGCTGCTGGTGTTGTTGATGATACTGGTACTCATGCGTCAGTCTGATGAGACTTTCAATGCTGCGGATGATCATGACGATGGCGACGACGATGACGATAGCGAGGACGACGACGAAGATGATGATTATGCTAATGATTATGCTAATGATTGTGCTGCTGCTGATGATGATGACGATGCTGAAGATGATGCTGATGATGCTGCTGATGGTGATGATAAGGATGGTGCTGCTTCTGCTGCTGATGATGATGACGATGCTGACCCCGCTGTTGATGGTGATGTTGCTGCTGATGCTGCTGATGCTGATGATAATGCTGACGCTGATTCTTCTGCTGCTTCTGATGATGACGTTGCTGCTGCTGATGATGATGACGATGCTGATGATGCTGATGATGCTGATGATGCTGCTGATGATGAGGATGCTGCTGATGTTGTTGATTATGATGAGGATGATGGTGATGCTGCTGATGATGATGATGCTGCTGATGATGATGAAGCAGAGAAGGATGATGATGCTGATGCTGCTGATGATGCTGATGCTGGTGGTGATGATGCTGACAACGATGCTGATGACGTTAATGATGATGCTGATGATGTTGCGGTTGTTGCTGCTGACTATGATGCTATTGCTGATGATGTTGTTGTTGATGCTGATGGTGATGCTGATGCTGATGCTAATGCTGCTGCTGATGATGATGTTGACGACGATGCATATGCTGCTGCTGATGATGATGATGATGGTGCTGATGATGATGCTGACGATGCTGTTGATGATGATGCTGATGATGCTGCTGGTGATGATGATGCTGCTGCTGCCGATGATGATGATGAGGATGCTAATGAGAATGATGCTGATGCTGATGACGATCCTGATGATGATGCTGATTCTGATGATGCTGATACTGCTGATGCTGCTGATGATGCTGCTGATGATGCTGCTGCTGATGATGATGACAATGACGATGACGATGATGATACCGATGATGATGATGATGATGATGATGCTGATGATGATGATGATGAGGATGCTGATGCTGCTGATGATGCTGCTGGTGATGCTGATGTTGAGGCTGATGCTGTTGCTGCTGATGATGATGATGATGATACTGATGATGATGATGATGCTGCTGATGATGATGATGATGATGATGCTACTGATGATGATGATGATGATGATGATGAAGATGATGATGATGATGAGGTTGATGTTGAGGTTGTTGTCGTTGATGATGATGATGCTGATGATGAGGATGAGGATGATGATGCTGATGATGATGATGATGCTGATGATGATAACGATGATGCTGATGATGCCGATGCTGATGATGATGATGATGATGTTGATGATGATGCTGATGATGATGGTGATGATGATGATGA